TGTTGAGTGTCAACGTTCTATGTCCATTGTTTCGCTATAGCTTTTAGGTGTAATTTTATAATTGGGGTTGTTAGTCATTTAAATAAGTTACTTTTACTTTATTTTGTTTACTTTGCAAACAATTAGTTCTTAGGTACCTTTCTATTGTATATTTGTATATTCATTTTTAATGATAGGTGTGTCATTAGGGGTTTATCCCAAAATCATTGTATTTCAAATACTTCGTATTCCTTATCTTTATTTGCAGTTGTAAAATCTATTAATATTTTCGTTAGAGTACAATGGTCGATACAATCGATCAATACCAAGAATTGTTGCACGCTGGACACTTGCACGTACACCGATCTCTCCCTTTCTCTTCTTATCAAACCGCACCCCTTATACCCGACTTTCTTATCTTGGACCACCCACCCTGTTTCTTCTATTCCTAATCCAATTAATGTTTCAAAACTTTACTGACTCCACCTACTCTTCCTCTTAATCCCATTCTTGTTAATATCCGAAAAAAGGATAGGAGCTCAATCATCATATTCATCAGAGAAAATAAGTAACAACAGAATAAGTGACAACCACAGAGAAGTGTAACAATCGTAAGAACACTAACAATCAAGTGACAATCCAGCGTGACAATCATCAGTGACAATCACCAGCGACAATCACAAGTGTGACAATCAACAGAACTAGTCAAACATATTACAAGCCGTTTAGTAAAATAATAGTTAAGTAATATTAATATTTTTAGCGTTAGTTTTTATTAAAGTGTCAAGTTTGAATAAACAGCACATTAAAAAACTAACGTGAGTTTTAATCATAAAACAAGTTCGTCAAACCAGGCGTCAACAGTGTCTTATCAACCTACCTCACCTATTTCTTTTTGACTTTGATAGAGTCGTCTGTTCTCCTATTCTTTCTGATACCTCTTCGTTTCTAACCTTTTCTTTACACGGTATCCTCATCATTCGCCTGCAACCGTCCATATTTCGTACCCGTACAGCGCCGAGCTCCAAATATACATCTTTGAAAATCTCTTTCGAATTTTTTATTTGTATCATGAAAAATATAAAAACAGATGTTTATAAAGTAAGATACTTTCAAGAATAACTTAATGGCTGAAAAATTAAAACTGTTGCAGGAATTACATTTAGCATCTATTGCAAAATATATTTTCGGTAGCAGCATTTTCCAAGTGTACTTATTTATCAGTTCGTACTTACTGTAGTTATCTTGACGTTGAAATAAAACGGTATCAGTTAATAAATGTTTTATCAAAATCAATCACTCCTATTCATCTATTCTATCCCAACTTTACTGCTAGAAAATAAACCTTTATTATGTGTAAATTGTAAAGATTAGATCTTGACGTATAACGGGCAACCTCTTGAGAAAAAATATAAGAATTAATTATTTGTAAATATATAAAAGATAAGTAAAAAACCTCTTTAAAGGAGATGCTTTTATTTAAGGCATGTGCTAAAATAAATAAAATAATTTAAAAGTATTTATTAAGGTAACACGATGTCCTTGAATGAGATCTAATATTCCGTGTTATTGAATTGTTGGTTTTGAAAAAACTTACCTCACGAATTATAAAGGTAATCCACCACACATCCTTCGATAAATACTTACTTACCAACCAATTACTGTCCATTGAAATTAATTAGTACGTAATCCCACGATTCCTGAAAGGAAGCTAAAGGGGGCCTTCCGCCCTACCTTCCGGTGTAGTCCGGAGGCACTGCCCGTCCACCAGAATTAGTGGCTGATGGAAATGAAACACTAAAAAGTTTTTTTTTTGCTGATCTATTCTAATATCTCCATGGTGTACACTATTTTGTATTGTCACAAGAACTATAGAAGTATGCAAAATTTAAGGGGGGAAAAATTTAAAATTCTTAAATTTCATCCACATATTGACTACTAACAAATGAAGTAAAATAAAACCCCGTAAAAACGATGTAAGATGCTTTTTAGTGTTTCAAAGGTTTGATGAGAATGAAACCATTCGTACAGTTACCCCTTTATCAAGATGTTACTAAATCTCAGTTTATAAACTTGTATCTACTTATATACTATTTGTGTATATACTAGAAGCCATGCTGATCGCTTGTGAAAATAGGGTCAAACATTGGTTTTAGTCTTCAGCTTGATGATAATCATCTTCTTGAACAGTTGGAATGGCGTTGTTGAGCCCAATGGGTCGGCAGTTTTTGACATTGGTTCTGTCACCAGATTTGTGAATCAGTTGTGTACAGTAGACACGTCGGCTAGAAGAAGATCATCAAATTCCTGTACTAGGCTGATGGACAACTCCGAGATGTCAAGGTACTGCACCAGGTTGAAGTTGTTCAGAAGAGGGTATACCGTCTCACAATAAAATGTAGTTAAGGATGCTCACAGGCATCGAGGCAGGACAATATTCAAGGAACATCATAGATAAAAGAACGTTAGATTTGCACCAGTTAGTCACAAACCATTAGATGTGTTTTCGGCATTGAAAACACAATTGATTTGGTTCTCTCCATCATTTGAGAAAATAATCCGCACAACTGGAAGTACCACCAAAGGTTGGGGGGCTTCGGCGCTTTATCCTTATCTGTATCTCCTCGTAGCGAAGTTGGCACGCCTCCAGACTTATGACCCATTCGGCCAATCTAGTTAATCAGTTCCAGCAGTGTCAAGCAAAAATTACTAACTCCTCTCAACTAGGGTAAATAAGTTAAGGTAATTGTTGTTTCCAACATACCCCCCATATACTACAATCTCGTAATACGGGAGCATAGGAGCTCATAGTGAGGCACCCGTATCCTCAACAGAATGGAGTAGGACTCATAACGGTAGTGGGTTGAACCCGTATGCTCAACTAAGCGGTGAGTACCATCGGATTTCAACCTGCTAAGATGCAGAGATTAAAGGCCTTGCAAGTCGACTAGATGAAATTTGTAGTACAGATCTAAATCCGTACTTGCTGTTAATCGTCCATTACATTGACGCTGTGAGGGGTACAATAAGAAAGTAGGAATCGCCCCCTCAAACAATAAAAGGATCGTCGATGTGGGAGCCTCCACTGTGACTTGAAAGTAGTTAAGAGATGTATCAAGATCCAAAGAGAGCAGAACACGAACATTTTGATAGAATATGGAAACGAAGACTGACGAGGAAGATGTCTAGGCCTTTTCTTGTCCCAAGACTATTGTAGGGGTACCGCTCAGGAATTTGATTGCGAGGTTTCCATCCCCAACCTCCTGACAATGTTTTGAGTTCCAAAAACTTTAAAAAAAATTTTTAGTGTTTCATTCCCACCATCTAGCAACACTGGTGGACGGGCAGTCTCTCCGGACTACGCTGTTTGGTAGGGTGGAAAACCCTCTTCAGCTTCCTTTCAGAAATCGTGGAAATGGGTGGGTGGTGGTTCGAGTGAGGCAGATAAGACGGACGAAATGAAGACAGAAGAGAATGAAAGATTATCTGTGGAATATTACTGCTCCACCTTTTGCCTAAGTGATCCAAGGAAACCACAGAAAAACTTGGACCAAGGCAGACGGACCCGGAATCGAACCGACGTCCTTCTAAATGCGAAGCAATGGTCTAAATCTCACGGAGTAAATGTATATACTTTCAAACGGTCATTTTCTACGCATGTTTGCACCGATCTTCAAACTCGTGGAGCAGGACGTCCTTTTCAGATTGAGACATGTTTCTAAGAGCTACACACTTCTCCATTCGAAGTTCCTTTTCCATTGCATCTAGCTTCATTCCTAACGCAGTGACCATTTTTTTTATATCACAAATTCGTCCAATTTATTCAACCATACATGTGCGACATTGATACATCTGATCGACACTACGGGACGATAACACGTATTATCTGCGTTTGTCATGCACTCCTTTCCTCAAATCAACACGATAATCTAATGGTAGATTATTTCACTTTTTTTTTATAAATATAGGACAAAATGCGGGAAAATTCTTCTTTTTAATACAAGTACTTTCACTGCTCATTATCATTAACGTCACGGTTATGTTCAGATATATATCGAAATATATTTTTATTTACCGATACTTTAGTTGATGTACTCTACGGAGATAATAAAAATATAGGTTTTACCAATAAACTTATTCTATTTCTCCGTTAATAGTAGTGCTGCTTTACTCAGGATGCATTCTAAGTGTTTACTCCTTGTAGTGACTCTGACGTCAGGTGTATTACATTTGTAAGTGCCATATAATTACTTAGATTAATCATAATTGATTCTATTGAGCTCCTACTTAAATTTCAAATACTTAGACATTATTTGTTTGAAATGCGAATTTGATTAAATATCATATAAACGAAACATATTTCGGAAATTTCCACAAAATAAGTTCTTTTGTATATTCTGTTCACTTACAATTAACACAGCCATGCACTGTGCACGTGTTTGTCCAAAACTAAAGCATTGAACAGAGCCGTAGGTATTTAAAACTAAAGACAAACACATAATATATTTGAAATCCATTTATTATCTGTACTACATGCACGGTTCCTAAAGTTATAATACAGTCTAATCAAAGGGTTAATAAAAAAATAATTTCTTCAATTATGCATTCTATTGCGCTTATCATTACTTTTATTACTTGCTTCCGAGGTATACTTCGTTTAGTTTCTCTAGCAATGCAACCTTTTTTGTTTTGACCGGCGCATAGTAGAAAAAAACAGCACTAGGCCAGAAAAGAAAGGAGACAACTCTCGGCCAAACTCTTAACCGGTGAGGAGCGTACAATCCGTACAATACTGCACGGAAAAATTGACCATTATATCCACTAAAATTGCATTGCTCAAATGTGTTGTTATTGGTACCAATTACTACTGAAAATATCAACGAGATGATTATTTATATTTGAAGACATACTAAAGGCTCTAAGGCTTGTTTTCGACTCGCACTACTATTCATGATTTTTTTCCCTACCTACGAACTTGCCAGTGCGCATCCAAGACATTGGAAGGGGTACATCCCTAAAGAAAGTAAATGAAGTATACAGCTGGAACCATTTGGGACGTCTTTAATTGTTTTTCTAATTATTTCGTTCTTTTAAAGAGATATGTTCTATTGCAATTGTTTTAACCGGAAATATGAGGGGGAGAGGTGTTAAGCAGGACTACTGGCTATTGCCCTAATTGGGGTATTTTCTTTATGCAATATAGTTAATGAATATAACATTTGCTACTGAAACGAAATATTTTTTACCAAATTCCATTAAAAAATAAATAAAGATAATCCAAAAGCACTTCAGTTCAACAAAACGTTTATGAAATTTAGATGCTGACTCAGTACAAGTTATCGATTACGACAGCAATGAAGATTAGATCAAAAAAGTGCTCTCTATTGAATTCTTTAAACATATGAAATGAGCAAAAATCGCTTAAAAACTGTTCACTTATCTTTAAAGTCAAATTGTTATATATGAGTAACTACGTAACAGGTGGGCTGAAAAGTTCGTAGGCTAGAATAGAAAAAATTATTTTTTTTTTTTTGATAGAAATTGATTTTATTATTCAATATAGTTCCCTTCGAGGGCGATACAACGATTATAGCGGTCATACAATTTTTCGATGCCATTTTTATAATACGATTTGTCTTTAGCCTCAAAATAGGCTTCAGTTTCGGCGATTACCTCTTCATCGGCGCGAAATTTCTGTCCAGCGAGCATCCTCTTGAGGTCTGAGAACAGAAAAAAGTCGCTGGGTGCCAAATCTGGAGAGTACAGTGGATGCGGAAGCAATTCGATGCCCAATTCATGGAATTTTGCCATCGATTTCATTGATTTGTGACACGGTGCATTTTCTTGATGAAACAGCACTTTTTTTTTTCAAACAACAAAAGTTCTTTCACTAAAAATGCTATAACTCAGATACTAATAGCGCAACAGCAGTCAAATTTATACACGTGTCTTTTGAATGTTAGGGCTAACTAAAAATCATATGGATTTGATACTAGTAGAGCCATATATGGGTCAGCCTATGAACTTTTCAGCCCGCCCTTGTACATCAAAATGTACTTAATGACTGAATGCGACCCTGGTACCTAAATTTCGATAGGCGTGAGTATGAGCCAGCACCTTTCGGATTGACCAATGCCGTTCTTATTGGTGTCCACGTTCTACATTGTGACCACGCGTACACGTTCGCTTTTGTTTGGTTATCTTGAAAGAGAACAGAGTCTAATCTGCATTACTTTCGCGTTGTTTCACTGTTGATTTTGGAAAACACCAAGTCATGTTTCGTCTATAACGACATTATCAAAGCGCACCCTGTATCTTTCACTACGTTTAAGATATATATTGGCGCAAATCATTATTAAAGTTCGTTTTTTGTTAATGACAGATTTTAATTCCAAAATATTCACATTACAATTCCCATTCATTTACGAGAAGAATGATATTTACAGTTCACTTAAGAGCGACCTTTTAAAATTCCGATGCTTTCATTTTAAGGCGATTCCAGTCCACCGACAGCAGCTTGTTTTAATTGCGAAATGGATCCTAGTATTTTTTTTCATTTAGATGAAAATACGACGGAATATCCAATCCAATCAGCGAAAAAGTTTTTTAATTAAATGAGAAATCTTTTTAATGTGTATTTAATGAAAATTATAGTAGTAAATTTCGAATGTTCTATTACGCCGTAGTAGTTATTTATTTCTCTAAATAAATAAACCAATAAATAAGCCAATATTCGAATGGTAATACATTCTACATTAAAATGTCGCAAAAATAAACACTTTATCACATAATAAACTCCACTTAAGTGGCTATCTAAACTTATAATAAATTACCTTGGATTTTTAAAAAAGATAAATGATGTAACATATATGTAGTATATCAAGTAATATATGATATTCCATACGTACATAAATCAAATATTTTCCTGATTACAAATAGCTCCATAAAATGCAATTCATACTTAAGTATTTATAACCGTTTTCAAATCGGTGTTTCCACGAGCTTCACATCCGCCATAATGTATGCCTTGTATCGTTAGAGGTATTGATAAAACAATATGGTATGAAATTAAAAGTAAAACCAAAATATTGGTATGGAAAGAAAGAAAACGTAGTGAAAGATAGAATGTAAGGATAGGAGACAAAAATTAGAAGTGACTGTAGCTGACTTTTAGCATTTAGGACTAAGTCAGATAATTCAGGGTAGATGGAGCAGTAGAGATTTAAAACAAAAGATGGTGAACGGGTTGAGTCGCCTTTAACAAAAAGGAGTTACTATATTCTCGCAAAGGTTAATTTAGAAATTCGAAAAAGATTGTCAAACTTATAAGCCTGGAGCACAGCTTTGTACCGGTGCGAAACCTGAACGGTGGGCACTACAGAAAAGAAAAGGATGGAAGCGTTCGAAATGTGGCGTTACAGGCGAATGATGACGATATCGTGGATAGAGAAGGTTAGAAATGAAGAAGTACTAGAAAGAATAGGAGAACAGAGGACTCTATGGAAGTCAATAAGAAATAGGCGAGATAGGTTGGTAGAATACTTTTTGAGGCATGAAGGGCTAGTTAAAGACATGTTAGAAGCAGGAGAGGTAGACCAAGATTAGATCACCTACTGTTCACAAATACTTAAGGATCTGGTATGTTCTAGTTTTAGGGAAATGTGAATATTAGTTCAGGAAACATAGAAAAGAGTAACGGTACATGTCTAGAAAAGAGTAACGGTGCATTTCTAACCAGTCACTGCACTGACGACCCTATGATGATGGTCATCATCATCATCATCATAGGGTAACTTGACCGTTTTTCGGGATTAGTAGTAGGACAGTGCTTCTAAGTACTTCAGAGTGCTGCTTCTGTTCACCCGACAGTGAAAATTGGGCTGAAATAGCATCAATAGATTTAATAATGACATTGACTAGAAGATCTTTGTAATCCTCAAGAATAAACTGCTAAAGTCGGACACGTGTAAAATCATCATCATAAGGTTGTCACTCCAAAGACTGGTTGAACACGTACATCCACTCTTTCCTATCCTGAGCTAATCTTGGCATTTCTCCAAAACTACAACATCTCTCACCCTTAACTATTTGCGAACAATAATCTAATCTAGGTCGACTCTACTTTTCTTAACTCCTCTTTCTGCCTCTAATATGTCTCTGACTAGACTTTCATGCCTGAGAAGGTGATCTACCAACCTATCTCGCCTATTTCTTGTTGACTTCCATAGAGTTCTCTGTTGCTTCTATTCAGATTACTGTTATCGTATTTCAAAAACATTGATATGTCCATTTCATAGACATATACACATAGCAAAAATAAAACGAGCACTTTTGAGTAATCGAAGAAAATTGGTACCTTTAACGCCCTCTCACGGGCAAACGAATGAATTGGTATACAGATAATTTCAGTTCATGATGGTACTTTCGACTATTGTATCAAATATTATAATACAACTATTTACATTTAACGGCTTCTCAAAATGACCAGATTTAAATAAATGAATCCTATAAGAAGCATTTTAAGTTCTTGAGCTGCAGTTTTCATCGACAATGTTTCGTTTTAATATCCCTTTATTATAACTTATTTCCTACTATTAAGTTATTACGCTGGTTAAACAGGTAGGAGCGATTTTTACGGGCGAATAAGAATTTTGACTTAATGACTTTTCCCACTTGTCGTAATGACCGGCGCAATATGCCACTGCCCGTTTCCCTTATGTTAAGTAATGATTAATAAAGTTTTCTGTTTTCTTTATAGAACTGAAGCCGTTTGCATTCCTGATAATATATTGTTTGGAGTTGGTTCCGCGTCATATCAAATAGAAGGAGCATGGAACTACGGAGGTAAACATCTTTTATTATTATTTTTAGTTACTACACCCTCTGACATGAAGCCTCCAAAATAAGTTCTTTTCCTTTCCAATTCTCTTAGACAATCCCAACGAATATTATAAAATAAAATAGATTCAAGTTTCTCGGTTTTTCAGTTTTGTTCATTCAGTCTCTCTGTGAGAGACGCGAGTCTCTGAATTAACAATTTTATCGTTCGAGTCTCTCATACACAGACTGTGAGAGATCCATAATAACACCTACGCAATAACTGAGAGACGCTCTCAGAGACGCTGAAAGACTCTGAGAGACTGGAGAGAGACTGAAAATTTTTGTCTAGGGATGTGATCATTATAAAGCTTTTCTTTAGCGTGCACAGTATATACCATACATCATGAAATTATTTAAAAATGTTAAGCGTTAGGGGCTGCGAACTAAGGGTTTAGGTTAGTGTAAAGTGGCAATGATTTCATATCTATGGATCACCGACAAATGTACCGTTCTTTGGACTAGTGGCTCAGTAACTGTCATAATCTGTTTTAACATGGAAATGATCATCATCGTCATAAGGTCGACATAAGACTGGTTGGACACGTACCTCCACTCTTTTTCCTATCCTGAGCTAAACTTCGAATTTTCCTAAAACTAGAACAGCCCACATCCTTAACTATTTGCGAACAGTAATATAATCAAGGTCTACCTCTACGCCTCCTAACTCCTGTTTCTGCCTCTAATATGTCTCTGACTAGACCTTCACGCCTGAGAAGGTGTCCTACCAACCCATTTCGCCTATTTTTTATTGACTTCCTTAGAGTCCTCTGTTCTCCTATTCATTCTAATACCTCTTCATTTCTAACCTTTTTTACTCACGTTATCCTCATCATCCGCCTAGAATACCACATTTCGAATGCTTCTAACCTTTTCTTTTCCGCCGCTCCCACGATCCATGTTTCGCACCCGTACAACGCCGTGCTCCAAACATACACCTTTAACAACCTTTTTCGAATTTCTAATTTAGCCGTTCGCGAACATAGAAGTGACTTCTTTTCATTAAAGGCGACACCACCCTGCGCTATCCTCTGCCTTACATCCCTGCTTCTCCTTCTGTCCTTACTTATCTGACTTCCCAGATACCTAAAATCAGTCACTTCTTCTAATTTTTCGTCTCCTATCTTTATATTCGCTCTTTCCCTACTTTTTCTTCCCTTGCATACCAGTACTTTAGTTTTAGTTTTACTTATTTTCATACAGTACTGATCTGTCAGTACCTCTTCCATTTTATTTAAAGCAATTTATAACTCCTCCTTGCTAGATGCTAATACCGCTATATCAACTGCAAATCTGCAAATGGAAATGATATTAAATTATTTTTCGTATTACATTTTTTTTTTTTGTTAAAACCGACGGGATCATTTTAAATTTTTAATTTAACTTGTAATAACGCCGCAGTATTTATATATATATATATCATTGTGGGAATATTTGCACAAAATCAGAATGATGAAAATACGAGCGGTTATACAGCAAAACGTGCCAAGAGGCGAGCACTAAAATGGCCAAATCTGCATAATCCTTTAGAAGGCCTTAGCGAGTCTTTTGTTCAAAATACCAGTCCATGCAACAAACGCTGATTTGCATAGCAATGAAATTCTGACGAGTGGGTATTTAAGAGCTGATACGTAAAGTGGATACTTAAACATTTATTACAGTTTATTGTAACACGGAAAAAATATCCGCTTGTTTCCTTAATTCTATTCACTGAAGGATCTGCAACAAGTTAGGTACGCAATCGTTTAAAAATGGAAACCCATTCCGGACACGACACTTTCGCTCGGAAATTGACAGAATGTGAAGAAATAATAACAATAAAAAATAGAAATTGTGGCCTGAAGCAATAAGACGATCAAGATTAGTCAAATCACAAGCATATTTGAGGTTATGTGGGCACCATATTACAGGAAATAAATATTATTTTTAAGTTTATATCAAACTAGCTTTTCCCCGCGGCTTCGCTCGCAGAAATTAATATGGTTTCTCCATAAAACCTTTTAACTCCCAATCCACCCTTACAACGTTTTAATTTTACGTAATGACGCCATCATAGATTTCTAATACAAAACGTAGCAACAACATTTCATTCTTAAGGGTTGATTTTTAAAAATTGCCAAAACACGTATTTGCTTAATTTCAACAATGAGCAACCTTCGAGTAATTCAGAGTACAAATAAAATATACCCCATGGAAACGTTGCAACCTCTTTTCATTTCATCAATAATATCAAACAGCATATATACCAAATTTCAAGTAAATTCAACCACAAATAATGTATGTCCCAAACAAAAATTGCAACACCTTTTTACCCCCCTTCCCTTTGGAGGTTGAATTTTTTAAAATGTCGAGATAGGTCTTCCACAAATTAAATGAGAGACCATTAAGACCAAGTTTCAAGTAAATCTGACCACAAATAATGTATGTTCCATTTAAACATTGCAACTCCTCTTCACCACTCATCCCCCCCATAGAGATTGAATTTTTTAACCATTTTCAAGTAAATCGGACCAAAAACAAACATGTAATCTTTGCAAACCCCTTTCAGCTTCCTAAAGAGATAGAATTTTGTAAAATGTTGAAATAGGTATGTATGTCACTAATTTTATATGAAAGAGCAGTAAGATCAATTTCAAGTAAATCTGACCTCAAATAATGTATGTTTCATTTAAACATTGCAACTCCTCTTCACCACTCATCCCCCCCCCAATAGAGATTGAATTTTTTAACCATTTTCAAGTAAATCGGACCAAAAACAAACATGCAATCTTTGCAAACCCCTTTCAGCTTCCTAAAGAGGTAGAATTTTGTAAAATGTAGAAATAGGTATGTATGTCACTAATTTTATATGAAAAAACATTAAAGCCAAGTTTCAGGTAAATCTGACTATAAATAAAACACCATACTTAACCATAGACAACATTACGTTTAGCTGTCAGTTGCGTTTTGTTATACCATTTTTAACAAATGAACGGCTACACTGACGATTTCATTTATAAATTTTTCGTCTTGCTGTCAGTTGGGTTTTGTCATTCCATATCAGTTGCGTTTACATATACCACGTTTTTCTGGTGGAACGTGATAAAAAGTATCCTATGTCCTTCTCCCGGCTGTAAACTACCTCCCCACTAATTTTCAGCCAAATCAGTTCAGCCCTTCTTGAGTAATAAATGGTGTAACTAAGACGACTTTCTTTTATATATATAGATTAAGTTTATGGAGTAGGTACTACTGTTTAGGTCTTTATAAAACTCGTCATGTGGTATAATCATAACTTCATCTTGTTCTGATTCTGAGGAATTCAATTTATCAAGCAAATTAAAATTTCTATGATATGCGTCTGATCATCATCTGTCAATCTTTTCCTATCCTGACATAATCTTCGCATTTCCCTAAAACTAGAACATCCCACATCCTTAACCATTTGCGAACAGTAGGTAATCTAATCTAGGTCTACTTCTACTTTTCTTAACTCCTGTTTCTGACTCTAATTTGTCTTTGACTAAACCTTCATGCCTAGTAACCTATCTTGCCTATTTTTTAATGACTTCCATAGAGTCCTCTGTTCTCCTATTCTTTCTAATACCTTTTCATTTGCGCTTTATATCTCTACCACTCCTTCCGTCCTGACTTACCTGACTTCCTAGATATCAGAAATCAACCACTTCCTTCAATCTTTACTAAGATTAATGCACAGTTTCTCACTGCAGAGGGATCCTAGCGACCTGCCGTTTATTATTTACGAACAATGAAAATATCGCAACCAGTTTTAAACGGTACCTGATACAGTTTGATAGATATGATCAGCAACAAAATATCTATAAATGGCGGCGTATCGCCATGTTCTTGGTAAATCTTCTTGCGCTACTATTATCATACTAAATGTTCATTTCTTCATTATTTCAATTATCTTCATTCTGAGAAGTGGATTATGTGGATTCAAAGAGCGTTTCAATCATTAATGGTTCAATGATAATGAATATATATTACACTTCGTAATTATCAATATTTTTTGTAATCAATATACATATATACGGTGGGAGATGCGGAAAAGAAAAGGTTAGAAGCGTTCGAAATGTGGTGTTACAGACGAATTATGAGAATACCGTAGATAGGGAAGGTTAGAAATGAAGAAAGAATAGGAGAACAGAGGACTCTATAGAAGTCAATAAGAAATAGACGAGATAGATTGGTTCGACACCTTCTCGGGCATGAAGGTCTAGTTAGAGGCATATTAGAGACAGAAACGGGAGTTAAGAGAGTTAGAGGTAGACCAAGATTAGGTTACTGTTCGCGAATAGTTAAGGATGTGTGTAGTTTTAGGGAAATACTATGATTAGCTCAGGATAGGAAGAAGTGGAGATGCGTGTCCAACCAGTCGTAGGACTGACGACCATGATGATGATACATATATACCATTTATGATTGATACATTTTCAATTGTGTTCAACGCTTTACCAGTTATCTTACTATCATTGAATCACTGTTTCGCCGTAGAATTCCATCCCCTTTTACGAACAATCCTTCAATTCTTTGAAAACATCTTTAAGTATCTGCTTAGAGTGTTACAATCAATCACTAAGATAAGTTTCTTTTTTGTTTTAATGAACGAAAACGTTGCTACATAAGCCAGCCATTATGTGTATAAGATGTAAGAGAGAAATAAATTGCCCAATCAATCATACTGCTTAAGACAGTTTTGATATTTTCCTCAATTAGAAAAAACGAAGACGTCGCGCAGTTAACTTTCCTGAAAGATTATCAATAAATTAATTAATACACACTAGTGATGAATGGTTTCTAAACTTTAGTAATAAAAGTATATATTTTCCATTTTTAAAGCATCATTAGAAGCAAACTATCATGAATTTGGATGTAGGGGGGAATCTTGGAGACTACTAATACGTTTTTTAAAACTCTTTCACAAATACTTATTAGAATAAATCTTCGTATATTATTATATTATTCCATTAAAATAAAAGGGCTTTCCGTGGGGACTAAATATGTAATGTAAATCTTACGAACGCTGCCTTATGGTAAGAGATAAATGAATTAAACTGTACCTGAAGAAAAATATTAATTTTTTATTAATAACACTGTCTTTGGTAATATTTCTAATTGTGCGAAGTTCGTCATGGTACCTATATCTATTTAAAGTAAAACCTCTTTTCATAGGACTTATTTTTATTAGCTTCAGGAATTTTAGCATCCATCTTAATTTCGCATGATTAAAAAATGGTGTAGAGTCACCAAATTTGTCAATTACCAATTCCTTTCGACTTACTTATGTGTTATTATATCGTGCCACACTGACCAGAATTTGTTTTAACATAGATAAGAGCGAAAGCATTTGGGATGACCTCACTCACAACTATCCGGAACTGGTATCTGCTGAAGCTAACGGTGACGTTGCAGCGGATTCGTTCAATAAAATAAATGAAGACGTGGCCCAGCTGCAGAGCATTGGTGTTCACTTTTACCAATTTTCACTATCATGGTCCAGACTTCTACCCGAAGGTTACTCGAACAACGTTAGTGCGGTTGGTCTTCAGTACTACAATGATCTGATCGACGCTCTGGTGGCTGCCGATATTATTCCAATGGTCGTTTTATACCATTGGGATCTACCAACAATCCTACAGAAACTGGGAGGTTGGACCAATCCTGAATTGATAGATATATACACCGACTACGCTAGAGTTGCCTTCGAAAATTTCGGAGACAGAGTTAAATATTGGATCACCTTCAGTTCACCTTCTGAAGTTTGTAAGGCATACGGAGCAGACAATCGCGCTCCTGCAGGCGTATCTTCCTCTCAGACTGGAATAGGGGAATATCTATGTGCTAACACTATTCTAAAAGCACACGCGAGAACCTACCATTTGTATAACGATACTTACAGGCCGGATCAGAATGGTAAGTTTCGGTTGATGCACATTACAATTGCTAACAGTTTAAATAAATTTTATTTGTATCTATCTAGAAAATTGTTTCATCATAGGATACTTTCTATAGGCGAATATAACAATGCCTTAATTTTACTACAATTTTTTGTTCACTTCTATTTCTACTTACACTACAGGAACTATTGGGATAGCATTATTCGCAAACTGGTACGAACCTGATACAATTTCTTCTGTTGACATAATAGCGGCCATACGTGCACTACATTTTGAGGTAGTTTTCACTTATTTACATTTAATTAATTGATTTTAAATTAATTGAAAGTTTCTTAAATTCTTCAGATTGGATTGTACGCCAACCCAATTTTCACCAGTGCTGGAGATTATCCTACAATGGTCAAGGACACAATTCGCAGAAGAAGTGCTGCCGAAGGATTCCCCTATTCTAGACTACCTGAGCTTACAGCTCAGGAAATTGAATACATCAAATTCACGTCAGATTTCTTCGGCGTCAACCATTACACCACTTATATGGCTGCTGACAGGCAGATGTACAGCAGTGATCCAGAATATTTCTTAGATTTGGAGGTGACTTACTGGCAGCCTCAATTGGATTGGGAAGACACTGCAGTAGATTGGGTAAAGGTGAGGAAGTAAATCGAACAAACGATCTGCAGTTGCATGTTAAATAATAATCTTATTGTAGGTGGTTCCATGGGGTTTCAGGAGGTTGTTGGTATGGTTGCAAAGGGAATACAACTACGGTCCTACATTCTACATTACAGAAAATGGATACCCTGATTATGGAGAAGTTGATGATGATCTAAGAATAAGTTACATTCAGGTAAGCAGTATACCCTTACGGAGATTAGATATTTAGGAGGTGTAGCTAGTACAAATCGATAAAATTCTGAAAGCTTGAGGAGTGTGAAAAATCACTGTAAACGCTAGTAATTTCTTGATGCAAATCTTAAATTTATTTACCAGCAATGAAAGAAGAAATAGTAAAACAGATTTTAATATGCAATACAGTGTCAGTAAAATAACTTGTCAATAATTTTTGATTTATTTTCCATAGCGTCAGGTAAGTGCCCTTCAGGATGCTATAGCCGACGGAGTCAGTGTTGGTGCTTACACTTATTGGAATTTCTTGGATGGTTTCGAATGGTTAGAGGGATACAAGTAAGTTAAGTAACAAACTTTACATAATCATTCATTTTGCCCAGCATGAACATTGTTGGCCGGAATAACTATAGTATGAAGGCGTTCGAGGTAGTGCAGATCGCTGTGGGCTTATACATGGGCGTACTGCCTGCTGGTAACATAATAACAACGGCAATCAACGTTCGCTATTTAGCGTATATTAGTTATTTTGGGGTTGCATTCTATAAAATCAAGGATTTCGCCTTCTACAGCTCATCGTCACAAACTTGACTGAAAGAAACTAGTATTTAAATTGAACAATAAGTAAAAATAATAAAGTCAGTGGAATTCGGTAGGTTCCATCTTGCTATCGTTGCTCCTGTCGTCAGTAATTCCCCATACTAAACAATTACAAATCAGACACTGATCTTGAGAGAAGAGATGACATCGCTAACAGTAATATTAACAACTATTCTACAACAACACACTGAGCTAGTGCCAATGATTGATACTGCTAATTGCCATTTGATTGAATGCGGCGTTGCGTTGTCGTATTTCTCTGCGTGATTTACCAGAGCCGTACTGACCGTTGCCTGTACTTTCCCTTACGCTTTTCAAAAGAACAGTGAACTGCAAACATTTTACCTATTTTTTTTGTTTAATAGTGCCCTGTCACATCCTGCGAGCTTGCCACTTATTTCAGAGACACCAAATTTATATACACTTGAGTTCTTATTGTAAAAATGGATATAATGATAAGGATCTCATGTCTCTGGACACATTCATTTAATCTATCGCTCCTAGAATTAGATTAGCACTTCACTTAAGTGTAAAACTTACATACAATTTTTTCTTAGCGTCACATACGGAATGGTAAGTGTCAATATGACAGATCCCAATAGATCTCGAACTCTGAAGTCATCGGCAAGATATTACCGGGATCTCATTAGAAGCAGAAGTGTGGAACCTGATCAGAATTGCAATTTTACTTCGGTTCCAACAACCCCTCCTCCAACCGATAACCCCGATGAGTCTACCACTTCTGCTCCTCCTAGTGGTCTTGCCAGCACATTTGCCATGCCACATAATCTCGGTAAGTTAAATGCAAACTTTTCATTTTATTTTTCCTCGACAACATTTTTATATATATGTTATTTCTTTACGTCTTGGTTTACTTCTTCAAGTGTCAAAAAACAAATTGCAAATGGCTAAAAAGTGAAATTTTTGTTGCACCGGTCAATTTCCCAGCAAACCAGGAAAATCCAGCAAAAACGAAATCACACGACTCTTTTTACTCAAAAAAATCAAAAATACTCTACTTGGAAATTTATCATTTTTATTATTGAAAATAGTGAAAAAACGAGAAAAGAAGATACAAAAAATCGATTTTCAATGATTTCGGAAATTTTTAAAAATTTTGAGCGATCTCCTTTGGAGGGGCTATTAAAACATAATAAACTAACATATTTTCATAGGAGACTCGAAAAAAAATATTGTTTTTTTTGGGCACCCTAATAAATACATATACCTACATAAATTTGTTGGTGAAAACTTACGATAAATTCAAATTACTCTGTGGAAAATTGTTTCATTGCACAATTTCGCAAATATCTGCTACGCTGATGAAATGATCTAGCAGCAGTGAAATATAATGCATTCAGGTCGGAAAATACGCTTCACTGATTCTTGGTTACTTTGAACAGAGCAATTGAAGAAGAAAATTTTTAACAAAAAAATACATGCTCATTCATGTCAGTCATTTTAATTTACCATTTACATCATATTTTATCACTTAATTCTTGGCTCATGTGTCTTTTCCATAACTAATTTTTTTTACCCATTTTTAATTTAAGACCTTACATATTAACGCTTGATTAGTTTTGACATAATTATGAAGATGGAAAACTGATATTGATTTGTTTCTTATACAGGTGTTATGCTGAGTATTTCTACGGTCACCATGGTGTTATTTTCATTAATTAGAAGTTAAATCTCCTGCAGAAGTATGATCTACTGTTTTATGTTACATCATCGTTGCGTTTGTTAATTTTATTATGAATAAAAGTTAATTAAGTAACTAAGTCTTAATGTGACCTACGATTGACCTTTTTGGTTATCTTATTTACTCTTGTATCAGATAAAAATAAAAAAGTAATTCTGTAATCCCAGTTAATTTCGACGAACTTTGACGGTTCGCTTTTGTTTCTTTTTTTTTTCCAATGATTCTGAAATTAATTACTTGGGGAGGCTCGTTTGGTTCGAAAAGAGAAAGTACAGATTGGTAATCAATAGGGTGACCTTTTTTCCCAAAAGAGCTTTAAAATACGGCAATGGCTTTCAAAATAATGAACCAATAAAGTATGCGCTATAAAAGAGTGCGAGCGAGCACGCGTGCGAATAAAAAGCTGAAATACGATGCCACTCCCTTATAAATAAAAGAACTGAAATATTCGAAACAAAAAAACGTTGTAAAAGTGTATGAAAATTACAACGGTTTCAATTGATCCTAAGTATCATTAGCATTATGATTTGAGTCACCTTTTGTGATTAAAAGGTAAATCAGAATGCAAAAAACTTCCGTAAATTAAAATAAAATTGTGTAATACATTTATGATGATGAAATAATTAGTGGCAAACAAATGTCTTTTTCCAGAATTTCCATTAATTAAACTAATAACGTACAAGCAATAAAAGCTAAATGAACTCGGATCGCAGCGTTATTACATTCAACGCATCGACATTATTCAATCACCGAAAATTTATCCTTTATGCATTTATTATCATTTGCTTGTGACCTAGGCCCTGTACATATAAAAAATAACTTCTATAATAATGTGTAAGAACATTTCTCCAATAGAATTCTAAATTCTCCAAATATTCAAGTGGAAATTACAGAAATCGAATCATCTGACATTTTCCCAACACACTAATTGTATTATCTCCTTTTGTTCTTCAGAACAGCCGAATTTAGCTGCTAATAAGAAAGTTAAACTAATTTTTACCAACCCGGCTTGTTTCAAAGTTTAGTTAAGGAACGGTTAATCCAGTTAAATCTGTTCCATTCAACCCGGTTCATTGGAACAGCTAAATAAATCAAATTTACAAATGCTGCACTTCGTAGAGGTTTTACCTTCTGCCTGATGTCTCTCCTCCCAAAGCCGCCTTATCTGTTTCAACTTGTACGGGCTACGTGTAAGTTGACTTTAATTTTTCTAAAGCAGATACGAAGTCTGCAGAGCTAGTAAATCCAACGCGCTTGAATGTAAAACCAGATAAAAGTTTCGCCTTTGTTCGTGTTCAACTCCAGACAGTTTCGGTTGGTAATAAGCCTTAAGTTGATGCAGTGTGGAATTCCATCGCCAAAGTAACTTATTCAGTGAACGGAATCATGAGAATAAATACACACATATATAAAGAATCTGAACAATACCGTACAGCCTAACTCGGTGGATTCAGAAATTCGAAATTAGACAAGCATATATTTTTTAAGTTCTCTAGGGTTTTTTTAGGGATATTTCGATGAATTTATTGAATTCCATCCTTAATGGGATGAAAGTAGGGGTTAAAGTAATTGATGTAACTGGTGGACCCTCGAAATTTAAAATTTGGAAGAAATATTGGAGTTGTAGGTAAGAAGGGATTTTTGAAATTCCATCCCTCTATGGATGGAAAAAGGTGTTAAACGATTTGATTGATAGACAACGCACCGCCTAAATTGGTGGACCTAGAAATTTGAAATTTGGAAGAAGTATTGCTTGAATCTCCTGGAGATGTAGTAGGTAAGAAGGGATTTTTGAAATTCCATCCTTCCATGGATGGAAAAAGGTGTTAAACGATTTGATTGATAGACAACGCACCGCCTAAATTGGTGGACCTAGAAATTTGAATTTTGGAAGAAGTATTCCTTGAATCTCCTGGAGATGTAGTAGGTAAGAAGGGATTTTTGAAATTCCATCCTTCCATGGATGGAAAAAGGTGTTAAACGATTTGATTGACAGCAACGCACAGCCTAAATTGGTGGACCTAGAAATTTGAATTTTGGAAGAAGTATTCCTTGAATCTCCTGGAGATGTAGTAGGTAAGAAGGGATTTTTGAAATTCCATCCTTCCATGAATGGAAAAAGGTGTTAATAGATTTGATTGACAGACAATACACAGCCTAAATTAGTGGACCTAGAAATTTGAAATTTGGAAGAGTATCCTACTACATCGGTAAAAAGGGATTTTTGAAATTCTATCCTTCCATGGATGGAAAAAGGTGTGAAATATGAAATTTGGAACAAGTATTCCTTGAGTATCCTGAGGATGTAATAGGTAAGAAGAGATTTTTGAAATATCGTCTCTCCACGGATGGAAAAAGGTGTTAAACGATTTGATTGATAGACAGCGCACCGCCTAAACTAGTGGACCTAGAAATTTGAAATTTGGAAGAAGTATTCCTTGAGTGTCCTGGAGATGTAATAGGTGAGACGGGATTTTTCAAATTCCATCCCTCTATGGATGGAAAAAGGTGTTAATAGATTTGATTGACAGACAACGCACAGCCTAAATTGGTGGACCTAGAAATTTGAAATTTGGAGAAAACATTCCTTGATTATTCTAGGGATATTGTGGTAGGAAGGGAACTTGTAGGCAGCAGGTGCGTCTTATATCCAAGCATAATAACAATTTAGGAATGTTCTGCATAAACTGCGTAAGAGTTTTTACTGGTACAAAATTTAAATGTTTGCCAAATCATATCTGGAAAGTTCTACCTGTTTGCCCTGTTTAAATTTTTGTAGTAGATACACTTTAATAAATAAACCACTGCATTGTTTGTTGTTTAAAATATATTTACCTAATGAATTACTTCACTTCACAAAAATCAACATTCGGACCGGGCAATCAATTGCACAGGTCTGCGATAAAAAAGTTTTTTGTAGAAATTTATCTTAAGCATGCAAATTTTGGTCTATATTTTGCAAATATAAACTTTGTTTTAATGTATCACGTCACATTTTTTTTGTATGTAGATTAATATATGTAGATATATATAGTTCTTTGAATCGGCAAATTTATTTGGTTTTTCATTTTATAGCTTATATTTCTATTTAATACTCTCTCACTGAGCATTATATTGTCTTTTACTTTATTTTAGATAGTCTGAAAGTAACTATAGTCGTTTACACCGCCTGAAAAAAAAAATAGTTTATAGCGCGCCATTATTGAGAGAGATATAATATTAACGTGTAATAAAAGATTGTGTTTCATTTATCTTTAACTATGGCTTCTGTAAAAACAATTCAAATGTATTTTTTTACATTTGCGGACAATATACAATAGTTAAGCAAAGATTGAATATAACAGACTGTAAAAAATGCTTATTAAGCTTACTTCACAAGATAAACACTGGATTACGATAAAATATGCCGGTTATGTGTTGAAGTGTTAAGACAGTGGACTTATGGTACATCAAAATCATTGTTATTAGGTATTCCTGTCCAAATTAGAATGCAATTGGAACTCGGAGTGAAAAATGTCATCAATACGAATTTGAAAAAAGAAAGTTTTGCTTCCACCACGTTACATTAAACTTGGTTTGATCAAACAGTTTGTAAAGGCATTTCAACTTGACCAACGGTGGTTATTTCATGTTTAGATATCGAGGTCATGATTTATATAGGTTTTAAGCATTACTTTTTAAGAAAAAAGTCAATTAAAAAATTACGTTTTTTTTTGTTTATTTTCGATTTTTCCATGCTTTAATATTGTCGGAGGTATTTCTAACCAACACCATCGAAAAGAGCTGGTTATCAAATATTTTTTCGTCGCACTCATTACGTGGCAACGGTTCAAATGGAAATGTGTTCTCTGAGTATTTATGGGTTAATGTGATATGTGGTATAAACCATATGAATATCGTTTTCTATTACTTTTAAGACAATTACGACAAATATTAACAATTTAAGAAAAAAACTTTTCAAAAAAAAATTTCGCAGACCTGTGTTATCAGTGACAATCAATGGATAGAACACAATCTGTTTACCTGACATGGCAACTTTTCATTTTAAGGGTATTGATGGAGGTAGATAGTAATTTGAGGTATTTCTTATTAAGAAAATCCATTTAAACCTACGCGCCCTTGCGTACGGCAAGCAATACTTGCTAATTTTTAGTTTTCGCACAATGTACTTTTAATTACGCTCAAAAGCTTCACTACTAATTTTTATAATACCTACACAAACGTTTATATGGCAATTTTATGGACAATTTGTGTTTCTAGGATCGCATAGATATATTATTTAAAACATTTTAATGAAATCCATCGACCAACCGTATATTTACGATCAAAGTTATATCAATTTTACGACTTATTAGTCCTTTAAATCGGATGTGTTAATTGTATTTTTATTGCCCGCCCGCTTTTGTCAATGTTATTACATTATATGTATACAAAGTACCTTTTATGAAGGGCATGTTTGTTCAACGTTTAGTTAAATTAATTAATTATTTTGTTGTTGGATTGAGTATTAAATTCCATTACTAAATGTAAAATTTCCGATTAGCAGATAAAGGTATTAATGACAAATCCATACACGTGACTTATACAAAGTGCTTTGTAGTTAGACGTTTTCATGTTTTTCTAATTTAAACGTTGGAAGGTGTGACATCATCAAATCATGAGAAGCCACTACACAAAGAAGCATTTAATTAAAAATGATGGAATTCCTTTTAGTTGTACCTAATGTAAACAGAGATTAAAAAGTTACTTTATTTTTAAAAGAATTAATAGTAAAAGTGGTAAATGACAAGTTGGACTTTATCGGACTTCTGACATTTCGTCGAAAACTATTTGGTTATATTTAAGCTGTGCAATCGCCACAAGATAGATGAAGATTCACCTTAATACGAGCTCTGTTCAAAAAGTGTCGCGAATTCTGTGTTTTTTCGAAAATTATTTATTTATTTATGAATATTTATTTTGTCCCCTTCAATGTAATCCTCACTAGATATTATACACTTGTACCAACGTTTTCTCCAATCCTCGAAGCACTTCTTCATTTCTTCATCATCATTCTTTGTGATTTTGTTCAGCTCCTCCTTCGATACCGTCTTTATCTTCTCAACCGTAGCGTGGACGTTCTTTCATGGGCGTTTTCAGTTTTGCGAATAAGAAAACGTCAAAAGGGGGCAGATCTGGAGAATACGGTGGTTGCGACATTATAAGTGTGTTGCTTTTGGCCAAAAATTCGCGCACAAGCAACGATGGGTGAGCATGGGCGTTATTACGGGGTAAACGTTTTACCCTGTGGCAAAAACTCATGATGTACCACGCCCCCGCAATCGAAGAAAACTGTAAGCAAAACCTTCACATTCGACTTAACTTGGCGCGCTTTTTTCGGTCTTGACTCGTGCGACAGCTTCCATTGGGATGATTGAGCTTTAGTTTCCACATTATAACAATAAACCCATGATTCGTCACCAGTTATGACCCTCTGGAGTCCAACAGCTCCTTAGCAATGCTAATGCGATGCTGTGTGTGGTCGAAATTGAGCAATTTTGGTACGAATTTTGCAGCGACCCTTGCCAGAAGCCAATCGATATGTTCAGGTCCTCAGCAACTTCGTCTGTTGTTGACCTGCTCGGGCGTCCGGCAAGCTCTTCCTCGTCCACATCTTCTCGGCTCTGAGAACATTTTGTACCACACATAAACGATGCTTCGGTCCAAAGTATAGGGTTGTTCGGAAAGTCATTTCGTTTGCACCCAACTTCACATTTAAGCCGTATAATTTTTATATGCTTTGAGAGCTCATATAGCAAGGCTTGTGTGTGAAAAAGACCAATTAATTCTACGCAGCAGTTTTTGGTTGGTGCCCTTTTAAATATGGAGAGCGATAAGCAGCATTTTCGACATATCTTACTGTTTTACTACAGAAAGGGTAAAAATGCTGTTCAAGCCAGAAAGAAATTGACTGATGTGTATGGAGAAGGTGTGTTGACAGTACGCCAGTGCCAGAACTGGTTCGCTAAATTTCGATCCGGCAATTTTGATGTCGAAGATGCACCACGTTCGGGAAGGCCGGTTGAAGCTGATAAAGACGCGATAAAGGCATTAGTTGATGTGAACCGGCGAATAACAACACGTGAGATCGGATTGAGGTTAAATTTATCAAATTCAACAGTTTATGACCACTTGAAAGGCCTGGGATTATCCTCGAAGCTCGATGTATGGGTTCCCCATGTTCTCACAGAGAGAAATCTGTGTCGCCGCATTGACGTCTGCGATTCGCTTCTCAAACGTCACGAAAATGATCCGTTTTTGAAGCGCATCATCACTGGGGACGAAAAATGGGTTGTATACAACAACGTCAAACGCAAGAGGTCATGGAGCAAAAAAGATGAACCGGCTCAAACCATTTCCAAAGCCGATATTCACCAAAAAAAGGTGATGCTGTCTGTTTGGTGGGATTTTAAAGGAATCGTTTTTTTTGAGCTTTTACCGGATAACACAACGATTAATTCGGAAGTCTACTGTCATCAGCTGGACAAACTGAATGATGCACTTCAACAGAAAAGGTCAGAACTAATCAACAGGAAAGGTGTAGTGTTTCACCAAGACAACGCGAGACCTCACACAAGTTTGGTCACTCGCCAAAAGCTTTTACAGCTTGAATGGGATACAATGCTACACCCACCATATTCTCCAGACCTGGCACCATCGGATTATTATTTGTTCCGGTCACTCCAAAATTTTTTAGACGGTAAAACCTTCACCTCAAATGAGGAGGTCAAAAACCTCCTCGATCAGTTTTTTGCCAGCAAAGACCAAAAATTTTATGAGCGTGGAATTATGCTACTACCAGAAAGATGGCAAAAGGTGTTGGACCAGAACGGTCAATATATAATTTAATAAAGTATTTGTTTATTATACGAAAATTGTCTTTCATTTCCACAAAAAAAAACGAAATGACTTTCCGAACAACCATATAGCTTCACGTTATGCCACAGTCAACATTCAGAATGCGTCCGAGCACTTAATTTAGTTTTTCACACAAAATTTGTTACAGACTATTTGATTAATTTTTTGGAATAGGCAAGAATCGAAGACGAGCCAAAACACGTGCAAGCAAACCAGCTGTCAAGAATAAAATGAACATTCAACATGGCCGAGCTTGTCGGTATAAGTGAGAGACATGAGTGCCAACCTAACGCCACAAAAAAATCGAAAATCGAATGTACGTCAGCGATACTTTTTGAACAGACTTCGTACATCATTCACGATGACGTGTTCATTTGCAATCAAATAGTTGTTTGCTTCGTCGGTTCTTGATTGGAAAATAAATTAGCTATAACCAAGTGTATAATATAATAAAACAACAATGTCAGAAATTCAACACAACGTATTTAGCTAGAAAGCTCCCTGCTATCGTGGAGAAACGGAGAACATCGACCTGTCAAGTAGCTAAATCGTAAAAATCTATGGCGATCATAAAAACAACAGACAAAACAAAGGGGTCAAACTTTAAGACTGAAAGGTCGGAAAAACTCCTTTAGCCAAAGCATAAATCTACGAAAATGGCAGAACAGAGCAATGAATCGACCATTTCATAAGTAATTTTTAGTGTAGATCTGCGAATAACAGAAATTGGAGCAAAGTAACGCTTCCCCGCAAATTATCGAAGCATTAGTACACATTGCTGCAGAGACATACGGTGCATACCGAATTTGCGAAAAGCAGTTACAACGAGTACTAACCGCGAGAATGTGACATTCTATGCAAGTGAATTACTCCATTTCCAAATCGAGGTAAACAATCTTAATAAGAAAGACTTGCAAAAGTAGGAATAGACGAAGAATTTAACGATCCACAATCATCATCATATACTGCAAATTATCAAGGATGTTGTCCTGTGTAGTAGCCTAGTAGTAAGATGTTGATATTTATATTATTAAATCGTCAGACCTAAGATTGGTTAGACACGCACCTCCAGTTTTTCCTAAGATGAGTTAATTTCCCTACGACTATTAGAACATCCCACATCCTTAACTATTTGCGAAGAGTAATCTAATCTAGGTCTACCTCTACCCCTCCTAACTCCTGTTTCTGCCTCTAATATGTCTCTGACTATACCTTCATGTCTGAGAAGGTGTCCTACCAACCTATTTCGCTTTTTTCAAATTGACTTCTATAGTGTACTTTTCTCCTTATACATATTTCTAAGACCTCCTAATTTCTAACCTTCTCCTTGCTAACAGGCTCCTTGACAAACAGGTGATGCCGAGGGATTGCCCCTTTTCCCCAAATTTTCTTGAGTTAGCTTTTTCAACTTGCGTTGTTGATTATGAAATACGTTAAAAAAAGACTTCTTTCATAATTTTGTGTCAAAAAGTCTGTAGGTAAAACAGCTTGAGAAACTCGAAGAGTATTCGTACATACGCATTGCAATAAAATTACAAAAAGTCGTAGGGACCATAAAAGTAATATCGGTCCTTAGTTCGGTGTTCGATAATTCGTAAATCTGTTCTGGTACGCAAAACTACCAAGATCCCAAGGAAAGAAAGACTTGAACAATGTAAACCTAATATATACCCAGTCGCTGTCGAGACATCGAGATACAATCTACGTTCACATTGTCAACGCAGCACTACCACTGAAGATGTCAGCCGCAGTAGCTGACGAAACGTCTGGACGGAATGGTTCACTTTGACCACTGCCCTATAGCCCGAATCTGCATTCTACTATGGATTCCGGCCGTGAAAGCCTTTGTTCTTATATTCCAATATACATTATTAATAGAACCAGAGAATCCCTCATTTTAATAAGGCAAGAGGAAGATGTAATTCCAACCCTAACAGGACAGGATTTTCAAAGATATCATCGAAAACGAATAATTCCGGCAAAAATTGATAACTGAGAATCTAATGTAGTTAGCTTTGATATAAATGTGTTTTATAGAAAAGATAAAATTACAAACTTTTCACAAGATAAACTCAAACTTGTTGTAGAACGTGAACAATGAAAACTTAACTGCTGTATTCACCTGACCATATGGGTGAATCTTAACCACTGCATACACAGTTAGAGATATTATTTGATATACATATGCTCTTTTATATAAGCTGCTAAACATAAAATAGCTGCTGGGGAAACTTTGTCTTTGTCAGCTAATATTTACAGCGAGCATTTCGGTGGTTTCAAACGAAAAACAATTTAGTTTACTTAAAATAGTTAAAGATTCGACCAGGTCCATCATTAAAGAGGGGAGACATGATGCCCTTATTAACTTGAAGTAATCTGTGGTAGAATTAAGTTGATTTAATATTAATATTTGATAAATATGACGGATCAGTACTGTATGAAAATAAATAAAAGTAAAACTAAAATACTGATATGCAAGGGAAGAAAAAGTAGGGAAAGAGCGAATATAAAGATAGGAGACGAAAAATTAGAAGAAGTGGCTGATTTTAGATACCTAGGAAGTCAGATAAGTGAGGATGGAAGGAGTAGTAGGGATATAAAGCAGAGGATAGCGCAGGGTCGTGTCGCCTTTAATAAAAAGAAGTCACTTCTATGCTCGCGAACGGTTAATTTAGAAATTCGAAAAAGGTTGTTAAAGGTGTATGTTTGGAGCACGGCGTTGTACGGGTGCGAAACATGGACAGTGGGAGCGGCGGAAAAGAAAAGGTTAGAAGCGTTCGAAATGTGGTGTTATAGGCGGATGATGAGGATATCGTGGGTAGAAAAGGTTAGAAATGAAGAGGTATTGGAAAGAATAGGAGAACAGAGGACTCTATGGAAGTCAATAAAAAATAGGCGAGATAGGTTGGTAGGACACCTTCTCAGGCATGAAGGTCTAGTCAGAGACATATTAGAGGAAGAAACAGGAGTTAGGAGGGGTAGAGGTAGACCTAGATTAGATTACTGTTCGCAAATAGTTAAGGATGTGGGGTGTTCTAGTTTTAGGGAAATGCGAGGTTTAGCTCGGGATAAGAAAGTGTGGAGGTACGTTTCCAACCAATCTTAGGACTGATGACCTTATGATGATGATGATGATGTTTTATTTATAAATGCATATTTTTGAGCGCGTGTGTGTGTAAAAGAAACATTAGTTAAAAAATTAATGTACAACAGTTGAATAATCGGTTGCGCCACCCCAACCCCCCCATCGGAATACTTAATGCTAGTACTGCTATATCATCTGCAAATTTAAGCATACTAATATATTGTCCCTGTATATCAATCCCTTCAGTTGTTCTGTCTTTAATGATGTTATAGATTAAAAAGTAGCGGTGACAATGTGCTTCCTCGTCTGATTCTCTCCTAATTTTTACTTATCTACGTAGCTGCTCAAGCTCTATATCTGTCTGTTGCTCTTTAGGCATATTTGCCAGAAATTGGCTCATATTGTGGTACAAGAATTCGGAAGTTATCAAGTCATGAAAGTGGACGCTGAAACCAACAATCCATTCGAGGGACTATTCGCCAAATTTTCATATCGGAAAGCCCATTTACATGTAATTCATTCGCAATCTACGAGCAAAATTCAGCACAAACCTGAATTACGACAAAGGCTTGATGGATTTGGAATAAAGGTAATACATTCCCAGAAAGCGATTCGACCTAAAATATGTCACATCACTTTTTGATACCCTAGGCAATTCAAAATGGTCCATGTCAACAAGATTAGTGTCAAGAACACTAACCTAAGGAGTGGTGAAGCTAAGGCAGTCAAAACAAGTAGCCTTGTAATTGTTTACAAGATCAGATGAAACTTTTAAATTTAATTTTAATAGTATTTCTGCGGTGGGCACCCAACCTCTGTGGGCACGGCCTAATCGTCCTTCCTCTAGCTAAAATCCATACTGAATCTTATCATTATAAAAACGAGCATGTAATGTAAATATCTAAATATTTTACATACCTTTGATGACATCATCTTGGAATAGTTTCTTCAATTGTTTTCTTGCATGATCCAGGCTATAATCTAGCACTATCACATTACTAATTAAAAAGGTAAAATAAAACAAATCCCTTTTATTGCGGCCATAATTCATTAGTCATCCTTAAAATTTCCACTTGAGCTTTTATCATCGCTTGACTCATAAAAAGTTTATTTTCTCCATATGACGACAGATTCCTAGGAAAAACTATGGAATCCAAACAGGCTAACGACTGGAGTAAAAATAAAATAAATAAATAATATTAGCATCGGGTTAGGATGCTAATATTATTTCAAAGTAATTCGGATAATTTAAAAATTAAGTGAAGAGTGAAATTTAATTTTTTGTAATTCAATATTTATTAACTAATGTAACGTGAAATATTTATTAACCATGTTTATTTAATTGTTTTGGTCTTCAACAACATTTCGATATCTTTTATAATTATTGTAGACACCTATAAAAGAACAATTTTTGCAAAATTTCAGAACCTAACTCTAAACATGTTCATACACATAGGGCCCAATTTCAGTCTAGTCGTATTTACCGGTTGTAGTAGCGCTCTGTCAACTCTGGTGCCGTAAATCGTTCCGCGGGCCACATTTGCGGACAGAATATGACCCGGAAACGGAAAGAAACGCCAGCAAGCAAATCTATTTCCATAGTAATTTATTTCCGGAAAACATACATATGCACAGAAGGGGGTATAATCTTAGCCATTTATCAGCTGTCACGTGGAAAAGAGTGGGGAGAACGACGATAACAGAAGCACTTGAAGCAGAAACGTTGAAGGCGAAACTGTACCCGAAGCGACGCTCGACGATCTCACGGAGAATACCGATGGCGCTTTCGTGGTCTGCTCTTCGCTCGGAAGATACCGGAACAATGGATGCTCCACCAATGCTTCCAACACTGTAACAATTTTGTTCAAATTAGATATAAATGACAGATAAAAGACAGAATATCCAGATAATTTTTTCTTATTCCCTAGACTCTTTGTCGAAATTATCCCAGATTTCCCTCACAATCTGACAACTATATCTATTGTGTTCATATATAGGAGTCAAAAGTTTTTGTTTTTTTAATATTTCTGGTATTACAGACAAATGATGAGGATACCGTGGATAGAGAAGGTTAAAAATGAAGAGGTATTAGAAAGAGTAAGAAAACAGAGGACTCTATGGAAGTCAGTAAGAAATAGGCGAGATAGGTTAGTAGGACATCTTCTCGGGCATGAAGGTCTAGTCAGAGTCAGATTAGAGGCAGAAACGGGAGTTAGGAGGAGTAGAGGTCCGTGTCCAACCAGTCTTAGGAATAACGACCTTGTGATGACGATATTTATTACAGAAGGCCTAGATAAGATTACTGTTCAGAAATAGTTAAGGATGTGGGATGTTCTAGTTTTAGGGAAATTCGAAGATTAGCTCAGGATAGAATGGAGTGGAGGATTACAATTTTAATCATCATCACTATCTACAACATCCGCCTATCGCCCTGGTAGCTCCTCTACTTCCTTCGCCCAATAATATGATGACTGGGACCTAAAAGTCATAATCTTCTTTTCAAGTTCCGATTATCGTAGAATTTTTTACTGCTTAGATGTTCTTTTAGATCTGAAATAGTAGATAATAGTCCAATGTAGAAAGGTCCATAGAATAATAACGTAACTTGAAATAAAGCATTCCTTAAGCGTTTTACTAACAACAGGAACCATCCTGATTTTAATTGTTTTAGAAGCTGTTCAAACCACTGACGTTTTATGGTACCTATGATGCACACGCAACACCTTTCATTTTAAGCAAAAAGTCCGTTCCGCTTTGCACTTTTGTAGTAGTTTACAATCAAGTTCCTGACGCACAACAAGTCGATTTTCTCAAATTCTTTAACAGACAAGAGAATGTTTTACTTGTTATAAGTTGACGTCACCAATTCAGTTTTATTTCCAGGGAAGAAGCATCACAAATCTTCTTTCATTGCATGTTTTGAGATTCCAAAGCGGACTCAGGTGTACTTGCACAAATAACAAAATCAAAAATTGGTATATTAGAAAGCAAATAGAACCTAGATTCCAAAAACAAACTAATTCTGGTACCAGAGTCAGAGTCATCCCACCTATGCTATCAGTTTATTTTAAAACAATCTCTGCCCCCAACTGTTCTTGCGCGCAGTTGGTACGGCTATCCCCACCGGTGTAGGGTTAGAGCGTGCGATGACGTGTCGTACCTCCACCCCATTGAACTAGTAACCGATGCCTAACCGTCGAAGTTGTGCACGGCTGTAGGCACTTGAGGTATCGGGTCGTGGTTTTGGAGGCACTAGTATCCTGGCACCGCTCTGCCCTATGGTCAAATCGTGAGCCTCAACTGCACCGGTACCTGATATCTGGGGTTTCAGGCAAAATGGAGGGTCATGAATGGTATTTGAGTTTCCTAGTATCCGATGGTAGGATGGTCCGGGTTCTTGAGACTTTTTGCTGTAACCTGACCCTCAGCTGACACCCACCGGATCAGTGGGGGGTGGACCTACAGACTGCGCAAGCCTTCAAGTCCACAGTGGGGGGCGGGGGCGGTTGCACTCAAGTTATGTAATTTGCATCCTCCGAAATGTAAAGGATAATATGCCCCAATTTCAATTAATTTTATTAGTTAGTTTTTACGTATAAGAGAACTGTTATCACTAAGTCAGTACCTTCCAGTTTTATTACCAAAATAGGATTTAACATTGAAACTATTTAGTTTAGGGTAACATCTGGATTGAAGTATTGACGGAGGGTAGTAGCCGCTATGCGACATGATCGTAAAATTTAAAGTTCACTTCTATTTCCTTCGAATTGCAATATATATTTCACGAAGGGGCAGAGCCGCTGCTGTATTCAATCCATTCGTTTCCATTAATATTTCCTGTTGAAACGAACGGCTTTCCTATGGACATTGCAAACTCTACAGTTTAATAACTTCACCCGGGTAAAGTTGGCGGCTGTTATCTCAACAAGTATGTCGTATTTCCTTACTCAAAGTGAGCATTTGTTAAAGACCATTTTCAAGTCACTTATGCAAGCTCGCCTTCCTTCAATAATTGGATAAGTGTTCCTGGTTGCTTTAGAAGGTGGTTCACGTGTAAATCCACTTTTTCATATTATAGCATAAGCACTTCTTTAAAATTTAAACGAAGGTTGCTACTGCTCAGATTTAGAGGATTAAAATCAGTTTTAGAGCGAGACAAGTGGATGGCGATTGAAGTAGTAGAAAAACTGACGGTGAAAACGTTTAAAGAGTTTTTTTTACGATAAAATTTGAATTGTTTCTCCAAAACACTTTAGCTACTAAAGTGCTCCTGCTTTTATTTTTATAATTGCAAAAAAATCCCGTAATTTGCTTACTGGTGTAAAAAGTAAAATATTTTTACTGCAATCTTCAACAGTCAGCTTATTCATAGAATATCAAATAAAAAATGTCAATTTCCAGAGACTGTGTTTACCTATAGACGCCTCACGTGTGAACAAATTCGAAAATATTTAAGGTGTAACATCACCTACTTCTACTACTGTAAGCCTACAGGTTGATAATTCCACTTTATTTTCATTATGAGAGTTGATCATTTCTTTAACATATTCTCACAACAATAAAAACATTGTTAAGATCAACATAAAGTAACAATCATCATCATCATAAGATCGTCAGTCCTAAGAGTGGTTAGACACGCACCTCTACTCTTTCCTATCCTGAGCTAATCTTCGCATTTCCCTAAAACTAGAACAACCTACATTCTTCACTATTTGCGAACAGTAATCCAATCAAGGTCTACCTCTACCTCTCCTAACTCCCCTTTCTGTCTCTAATATGCCTCCAACTAGACCTTCATGCCTGAGAAGGTGTCGAAACAATCTATCTCGTCTATTTCTTATTGAGTCCCCTGTTCTCTTACTCTTTCTAATACCTCTTCATTTCTAAACTTCTCTATCCACAGTATCCTCATCATTCGCCTGTAACACCACATTTCGAACGCTTCTAACCTTTTCCGCCGCTCCCACTGTCCATGTTTCGCACCCATAGAACGCCGTGCTCCAAACATACACTTTTAACAACCTTTTTCGAATTTTTAAATTAACCATTCGCGAGCACAGAAGTGACTTCTTTTTATTAAAGGCGACACGACCCTGCGCTATCCTCTGCTTTATATCCCTACTACTCCTTCCGTCCTGACTTATCTGACTCCCTAGATACCTAAAATCGACCACTTCTTCTAATTTTCCGCCTCCTTTCTTTATATTTGCTCTTTCCCTACTTTTTACTTCCATCGCATACCAGTATTTTTGTAAAAATACTAATTAATAATTTTTTAGAAGTATACAGCAAAACAAACGCGGATGCTTGGGACTACAATTTAGGTAATTCTTTTGCGAAATCTCGGAAGAAGGGAAACAGAGGAGAAGTCGAAGAATTAAAATTGGTATAAGAAAAATTAAATACGTCAAGTTCTAATTGGCTATTTGCAAAATAGATAAAAAACAACGTACCAATCGTCGTAGATTTTGACGTAGTTGTCTGATATGTAGGATTCGTTGTAGTCCTCTCTGTTTCTGAAATAAAAATATACTTCGTTAAAGACATCAAAAGAAGTACTTACAATTAGTAAAATGTATGTGGAGTACCTCCAAATTTTATTATATATTCAACATACTTAAGTATTGTAAAACATTGAGTGCATGAAATAGTTGATTGTCGGTTTTTCAAACTTTCTCTAACATTACAGTGTTGCCCAATATTGACGGCTTGTCGGCATAACGCGTTAACCTAACCTAACAAGTTTGAAAACTACTGTTAACCTAACCTAACAAGTTTGTAAACTACTGTTAACCGAACCTAGCAAGGTTAAAAACTGCTATTAACCTAACCTAACAAACTCGAAAACTACTGTTAACCGAACCTAACAAGTTTGAGAACTACTGTTAACCTAACCTAGCAGGTTTGAAAACTACTGATCATGAGTACCATCTGGTCTAAAACTCTATACTTTAGATTTGAAATGATCGACGACCAACAAACGCATTTCGTAATATTAAGATACCTAATAATAATTACCATTAGAGCATTAATTTTTGTCTGACTCGAAAACGGTAGGTATACGATAAAGGATTGAAATCGCACATGGGTTTAAATCAAATTATGCATAAAAATTACTAAAGTTAATTAAAAGTCTAATTTATTAAACATTTTAACAATTGGATTTACTATTACTACAATCGAACTGTAAACAAACAAAAACATATTTCTTTCACTTTCTCTAAAGGTCAAAAGTTTGGATCAGGATCACTTTTACAGTTTCTATGTCAACTTCATCTCGAGGGTGATATATTGCATGCGATAAACAGTTTTCGGAAAGATATACAAACATATGTATCTTGGTGTATCGACTTTTAAACTAGAACATATTCTCCATTCCCTACAGACAAACCGGTTCCACTTACGGCTCAGAGTCAAATCTCGTGAGACATCCGCATTCCACTGGATTTCACTTTACTTTTCACATTGTCTGTAGAATGAGATGGAACCTACATATTCAGATTATCTCGGGAGAGTAACCATTGGAAAGATTCTAACACTGGGACATTAAATTAAATACCTTGATATTTTAAAATGATATTGTAATGTTAAAAATACGTGTACAACCCTATATTAATTAAACTTAACATTTAATGACTTTTAACCATTATTGATTGTCTAAGCAATTTCACTTGAATAAGCGAGTGAGACTGGTTCAACTTTTTTTTATTGAATTATGCCTATTTTATGCAAGTTTTCATTGGATCCTTCACTCTGGGTACTGTTGTTTTTACTATTCATAGAATAGCGGGCATAACACTTCAACTGGTTGGTTGCGACTGTTTCGTTATTTTCTAGCGCTCTACGATAACGTCTCTTGAGATACCATAACATTTTTAATTATTAATAGTGGTTAATATGAAATATTAATGTGAAAATTCATTTTCAATTTTCCATCCACTACAAACTACCTCAGGTTAATGAGGAAAAATTTTTGTTGCTGCTGTCACACTCTCGCTGGGATTCGAACCCGGGACCTATGGCTTTACAAACCAATGCTCTCACCACTAAGCTACGAGAGATAACAACAGCAACCACGACAAACCGAGCCTATAAGGTTACAGATCCATCGATTTTTTACTAATGTAATCATATAAATTATAAAATTATGTAAAGAATGAAATGAATGGGACAATACAGAATGGTAAAAAAGACCAGAGATAAATCGCCCCAAGAAGAATTCAAGAACGACTAAGAAAGAGATGGAGCGATAATATGCGTCCTGATTACAACATCGGTGAAGAACAGGCTTAAGCCTAAGTGGAAGAAGAAAGAATAAGAAGTAATTAGAAAAAAATGTACAATTTTATCTATTTCACCATCACTAGGTCGACGGTTAGTCAGGCACCTTCAGTCTTTCCTGTCCCGAGTCAATCTCCGTAATTCCTAAAACCTTGAACATCACACATCCCTTCTAACATAGATCTTTCTTACATGTTTTCGGTTTGGCTTTTGCAAACGATTTAATGAAAAAGAAAAATGGTTTAATATAAGATATAAGTGCCGGAACTCATTTAGACAATCCCATAATACGGCCCAATTTCCATATATTTCTTTTCCAGTAGTAAACACATTTTTTCGATGATGGGCGACACCGAGCAACGCTTGCAATATGGCACTGTGTCTGCGCGCCGAATACACAAATTGTCTCATACATTGTCTGTGTCATTATTATCTCGGAAAATTCCTGAGAACTCATTGCAAACAGTGAGATTCGTTCATCTAAATGCAAATCCGAAATTGCAGCGACGGTTTGGACGACATTCCTTTGCTTTCTAGTCTCCACGTATGTACCCACATAAGTTAGTAGCGAAATTTTGTCACAAAGAAAACGTTTATTTTACTCGCCTTTTAAAACGTAATGTAACCATAACTTACTATTATTACATTTACTTTGTTTTTAATGGCTCTAACTTAAATATACATATAACCCTTCTCTCTGTTTTAGGTCATTTTAATTTTAACACGTACTGAATGTCTAAAAGTTAGGTTATGAAGGAAATGAATTTTAAAATTGCAGTTTTAAGACAGATAACAAATAAAATATTGTAATGTTCGTGGGGTTTAACAAAATTAACTTCTAAGACTGATAACGACAAAAACTATTTATTTGCACTAATTATTAAAGAACTTAAAAACACCTTTAAATTATTACTAAACTTAGGTTATGAATTATTCGATTTATTTACACTAGGTACTGTTGATATATCACTATTCACTGCGCTATTTATTTCACTGCTATCACTGTCAATTTATTTATGGATTCACTTCTGCAACGGTCAATTTATTTCTACTCCTCTCGGCGATCATCTCTTTCTTTAAATACTCTTTTGTTTACTTTTGGGAACCTTCTGGAAACGTCCGAATAGTTTATTTTTTCTTTGAACTGTTTAATTGCTTTCCCAGAAGGCAGCTTCGACACACACATTTACAAATACGGCGTACATGATGAAAGGCGCCCGCGGCTACTCGGCGAATCGATAAGCCGTTCACGCCCACACAAACACACTCGTGCTCGCTACAATATTAATTAAAAAATAATGATAATGAATACAATCACCTTTTCCTCGTTTTTAGGCATTTATACAAAGCGAACAGTAATGGCTAACTTGAGTCTAAGTGGATTACCGGAAGTTGCGATTTTAATCTAGTATTGAACATTTCATGACTGAACGACTTGTAGTCATTGTGATAACCTTCTATCAAAATAATTCTGCAATTGTTTCAACATTACAAAAAGTAGGACATTTTAGAATATACCACAAATGGCGCGGTAAACGCCATCTGTAGTACAATGCTACATTTTAGGATTACGTATGCTCCAACAAGGTCCATTTGTATGGATATCTACTTGCTGAAGCGAATCCCGGCGTAGCTAACCTCAACGTGATAGGCACGTTACCATAATAAGTAAGAATACAGACCACTTATTATTTTATTGGTAGGACATTTGATCCAAAAACTGTGTCCAGTATTAACAAACGTAACGTGCCAAAATGCATGTACTCACGGTAAATTTCACAAGGGTAGACGGAACAAAAATTTCATGTTTAAAAACTTTAATACAGAAATATTAAACACAAAAAATAAAATACACCTTTTAAAATAAAATAAAAATTATGAAATAGATAAATGTACCGGTCTGGCTTGTTGGGGCCCTTCCAACGAAAACGTCTGTCTTCGGTTGACCAATTTAGTTTAGTATTTCTTTCCAGAATTTATTAATAATGTTATGTTTCCATTCGTGGAAACACACTCCACGATTGACTTGAAAACTTATTTGTTGATATATTTTAGAAAGGAAATGAACGCAATTGCAATTTTAACTCAAAAAACGTACCAACCGGCTTCTTCAACTTCCACCAGCTTTCTTTCTTCTTTCACCTTCTTCAGCGATCGATCACTCTGCTTATTTCTTTTAGTGCATTAACCCCCTCCAAATCACACCAATACCGTTATCACACAACAAATGCCCGAAGACACTTCCCTCTACCCTAAAAAAACTTTTACGTGTTTCATTTCCGACAGCCACTAATGGTGGGCGGACAGTGTCTCCGTGCTACGTCGTAGGACGGAAGGCCTTCTTCAAGGCTTTTAGGATTGGGGGAATGTGTGGGTGGTGGTTCGGGTGAGAAAGATGAGACGGGTGAAATGAAGACAGAAGAAAATGAAAGATTATCTGTGGAATATTACTGTTCCAGCATTTGCCTAAGCAATCCCAGTAAACCCACAGAAGTAGGATATCTAGGGGCAAATCTTATCTATCAATGCTTTTCTTACGGCACTTTCGCTCGTTAGATTTTGGCCTCTCATTGGTCGGCCCCGCCCCCTCTTGTGTCATGTGGGTGCTTTTTGTTGTTATCCTATAACGTCGATCAAGGCAGACGGACCCGAAATCGAACCAGTGTCCTCCCAAAAGTTAAGCAGTGATCTAAACCTCTAGGCCATGCCACTCGGTTCTACTTTTAAAGTCCACAACATTAATACCCCAAGCCCTACCTTTGAAAAACGAGTTTAGCGCCTTTAATACAAGCACTAATAATTTTTGTACCGAAAGGAACGTAACACAAAACAAAACACAACACAAATGAAGGATATATACAAAAGTTTAATTAGACTGAACAACACTCAAAAACAACATAAGAACAACAACAAATAATAACAATATAAAACACTTACGAATTATCAAGAGGTAGACTGGTTACTGGTTACTGAACACTGGTTTTTAAGTAGGAAAAAAAACTGTGTTTCATTCCCACTAGCCAGTAATGTTAGTGGGCGGGCAGTCCCTCCGGACTACGCCGGAAGGTAGGGCGGAAGGCCCTCTTCAGCCTGCTTTCAGGAATCGTGGGAATGGGTGGGTGGTGGTTCGAGTGAGAAAGATGAAACAGACGAAATGAAGACAGAAGAGAATGAAAGATTATCTGTGGAATATTACTGCCTCACCATTTGCCTAAGTGATCCAAGGAAACCACAGAAAAANCAACACTCAAAAACAACATAAGAACAACAACAAATAATAACAATTTAAAACACTTACGAATTATCAAGAGGTAGACTGGTTACTGGACACTGGTTAATAAGTAGGAAATTTGAAGGGTATTTATACAACAGGATTGTTAGTAAATAGAGGGAGAACATTCTAGAAGGAAAAGTATTAACAGAACATGTACAGACTAGTTGAAATTGAATAGAATAGAATTCGAAGAAAAAGTAAGCGAGGGAAAGCCAGCTATTAATAAGGGTTGTTAAATAGGTATCGAAGACGATGAAATTCTAGGTAAAGATAGCGATAGCGGAACAATAGAATTTAGTTTGAAAAGAAACAAAGGCATGCACAAGATAAGAAGCGAAAGGTTTACAATATTTACACATGTACAAAAATATGAAAAATTAATATACAAAAATATATATACAATACAATATATATTCCTATTTTTTGTATTCGCCACACGAGCAATATTAAAATCATTCGTAACGATTAGTGATAATAACTTGCCACTAATTAATGTAGCACTGTTTTCTCAGGACTGGAATGGAGGGACAAACAAGTGTTCGTTTACCAGAAAAAAGGAAAAGCTTTTTGATAGTACCTACTACAAGTCAACTCGACTATCATGCACAATAATCAAATGTAGGATTCTCCATTAAACTCAGGGCCTTATAAATTACGTTAGCGAAAGTTTTCTAATTAAGTGAAGCCAAGCCGACGATGTCATGCCATATTGACGCGTGAAGTAATAAAAGAGGCGGGAAATAAATTAAAGGGCTTCTTATTAGTACAATTTTCACTGCTAAACAGCTTTAATTAACTACGTCTAAAGAACATTAATAAGCACAGCGACTAAACACAAATTAGGCATCTTTTCCTATATATTTTCTTGAACAGGTTCTAGAACACGCGTAAACAAAATAACCAACATTTAATCCTAACTATAACGTCTTCATTTCAGTTTTTATTCATCTATCTTATCCAATTTTTCTTAAAAAGTGAAGCACTAGGCGCAACGCATCGACATTATTCAATCACTGAATATTTATCTTTTATGCGCTTATTTATATTTACTTATGATCTACTGAATGATCTCCGACCACGAAGTATTTTCAATACAAAAGTGAAGAAATATCAATCAAATTTATGTTTCAAGAAATAATTTTTGCTTTACGTTGAGCTGTACAAGTTTGACGACAATATGAACATTGTTAACAAATTAAACGAATAATTTCACTTTCTGGGAACAAGATTTAATCAATTTTTGGTTCGGAATGTAATGAGAGTACTACCTTAACAACTAATAGACAACTGAAGTAAAATCTCGAACTCTATAGGTACTCTTTGTTGTTAGCACCTGTTGATGTTCTAATACGTTGAAATTCTCCTTTGTTATTTAATCATTCCCGGTTCTAGTACAGCTTCCACTCTGTTGTTATCATTTGAACGAACAAGTTGGATATGCATTTTGCATATCCTTCACACGGCGAAACTAAATGCAAAACGACAATTTCACACCATCGCAGTGTCCTATACTTGGTGCACACGCGATTCACGGTGCCAGAATCCTATTAAGAGCAACTCGCGTTTAAACGTTATGGAATAATCCTATAAACGCTCCAAAATATCCTTTGGAACAAAGGGTGAAACTGGCTTCGCTGCGGAACGCTCAAGGTGATTTTCATATTATCCAATCAGTAAGTGGGTTGCATTGAAGCCATAGACTATGATAATCTGCTGCTTATCAAACCGCCGATGATGTAGTCTAAAGTTTAATTCAATAATTCTTATGTTCCGTACGTAATCAATGCTTTATAAATAATATAAAATAATTAAAGGAGAATATAGGGATACCGGGAAAAACTCTTGACGTCCTCCTTGAATGATTACATAAACACAAATACCTTCAAAACGAACGATAACAGTCTACATTTTTAATTAACAAAAAGCACAAAAACAATGTTTTCACCGTACTTTTCGCCAATGGGGTCAAATCTGACCATAAAACGTTGGAATATCAAAATACAACATTAACATCAATATCACTGGAATATTACAGTTAGAATTTATCTCTCACAATATTGATACCTTCGCCAGAATACAACTGTCTCAATTATCATCCTATTGTAATTCTATTTTCTCCCAGTTTCAAGACATTATTTTAGAATTAATTATACTTGAGGGTAAATAAATTGTTTTTAAAGTGTGCAAACCTTAATTATTATATTGTAAACTTCTGGTGTTATTATTGACATTAAATTGGTTCAATGATTGAGAACAGTTAACAGTTCTTGCAGCGGCGTTATCAAATCGCCTTTAGTTATCGCAAGCGTCAACTGACGAAACACACATACCAATTCGTGACCTTCGCTACAGCTGAATGTACGTAACGATTAGTAATAATCTACACTCGACAGCGTTCGATTGGTAAAGTGTTACATCCATAAAATACAAAAATAAGTTATAATACTAGATCATTACCCGCTTGAAAGATATTAAATTCATTTCCAGCCTAAAGACCAGTTTAGAATGAGCCATATTTAGATGAGTGCTTAAGTATTGAGGATAAATGATGAGTTATCTTTCTTAATCAAGTATTTTTTAACATAGCGTTGACAAGCGATGCAACAAAACGTGTATCTGATTTTGACCAGCATCAAGGCTCATCTAGTGTGTAAGTTCAATCGTTTACGAACGAAACAAAGTCACTGCAACTCGTTGTTTTTAAACATGGCTCTGTTTCAAGTGAGGCATGTGGATGTGATGAAGTAGAAACAATCAAACATATATTGGTGGATTGTCCACGACCACGTCTTAATAAGCCCCTCATATGTTTGGTTTAGTGTTAACCTTTAAGCCACTTTAATTGATTGTTCTTTTTGATATTGCTGTTTCTACTTTTGGGAATCGCATGGTGAGTAATGCAGTGTAATTAAGAGACAAAACAAATAGTAATTGACAACGTACGGATAAATTGCAACAACAATTAAGCAGGTACGTCGACGGAGAATGTAAACGGTGATTGTAAAATAAATATCAACAGCCTATTACTATGCTATTACACATACACTACAAAAAATATCTGTGTCGCGCAAAAACGTCCGGCATTTGGCGTATTTCATTTGCAACGATCATACATGGTCGTGCAAATCTTTAGCGTTATGTACTATAACCCCATAGAAAGGAGTCAAGTGGATTTAGATTAGGATTACGCACCGGCCTAGCCACAGGACTATTCTACACTGACCTACGACACTGATATTCTACCAATGACATTGCTTAACTACATACATACGCTATTAAAAGAACACTAACTGTAATATAAACATCGTTAGTAACACTTCTAACAATCTAATCTAATCTAACAAATAACAAACAATGCAAGACTACAAAAAATACAAAAGAAGTGAAGAAGAATTAGCAACTACTCAGCGTTAAATGTCATATTTCTGTGCAAGAACCTACCAGGGTCGGACTTGCCTTTACATAGGTTTTCTTGAAGACGGTAGTCTCTCGGACCACCAATAATTTACTCAATTTTCATTTTTTATAATGCCTTAACATCTCCTACAAGGTTAATTGTTTCAGAAACACCCTGTATATATATGGTACCTACACTAAACGACAAACTATTGGCGCCTGATTTCCAAAAATCTTCGCCGGAACTTACATAAAGTTATTTATAAAATAGTACCACAAGGTATTAATGGATAACCTCAAGTCTTCAAAAATTCGGAACAAGAAAGTATATAATTTGTATTATATATTTTATGTATAAAGGTGTTCATAAACGTTTATGTAGAAAATCTGTAGCAATTTAAAACATAAAGGAAGTTGTATGAAGCTGGAAATTGTATAGGTATTTAAAGTCATACCTGTTGTAGTAATCAATTCGGTTGTTGTTGATTCTGTTGTCGTGGTTGTTGTGGTTATTACTTCTGAAATAAGCAAAAACAATGTAATAGTTAAATCCCACAGTCACAGTTACTAGCAGCTATAGATACTTGTAAGAAGGTAATAATTACAGTTCGTTTAGATGAGGGGAGCAACGTTTCTGAGACAAGTTCTATTGAGTTTCAGAGCGATGTCAAGAAATGAATCCATTGCTGTTTGTGATTATCATAATGTAAGCGTGGTAAATACCCATTTTGCCCAAACGGTTCATAGGTTTCTTTGGTCATTGCTATAGCTAACTCTTTATACACACACTTACGCAATTATAACAACAATAAACAAATAAATTAGCAAATGCATAATATCATCCATTAGACATGCATTTTTGGCCTTTAAAATCTTTTAGTCGAGGTTTCTCCAAGTAGAATATTGAGTATGCGCAGGTTGTTTGGACCAAAGATTTAGGGTGGAACCAATGACGCCTTATACAAGGTTTGGCAATGAAACGGGAAGATTTCGTAAATAATTTTATTGTTGAAAAAATATTTTCACTTTCTGAGCATGAAGAGGTGTTTCAGTACATGAAATTTTGTTTGTTAACAAAACCGGAGAGATGAAAGTGTGCCTCATCACTCATCCACAAGTTGTTACCACCATTTTCTTCCAACCTGGCAAGCATAACCTCACAAAATCTGAGACGCTGTTGATAATCACCCGGGTGAAGAGATTGAACAACCTGTATTTTATACGGGTGATATCGAAGATCTTGATGGAGTATCCTTCTCAGCGATCTGTCACTTATTCGAAGGTGTGTGGCGTGACAGATGGCCGATCGACGTGGACTTCTTAACATTGCTTGTCGAACACGTTCAATATTTTCAGGGGTTCGAATCGTTCTGGCACTACCACCTCTTTTTCTAGACGTCGATCCAGTTTGCTCGAGGTTGTTTACCCATATTTTAATCGCATTGTCTGACGGAACAGGTTGGTATCGTGGTATGTTAAAATGCCGTCGAAAATCCCGACGCGTTTGCACTAAACTCTCGCCATTTTGATAATAAGCCTTAATTGCGTAACCGCGATGCTCACCCGTCCAACGCTCCATTGTAGACTAAATGGCAAGCCACTCGGGTCCCGGCAGGCCTGTGACTGTCTTCCCTACGACCTCAAAGCCCGCTGCAAGCCCCACCCCAAATCTTCCCGTTTCATTGCCGAACCCTGTATTAATAAAATGTTGCCGTGAAAAATGATACAAGGTCTTGAAGGTGGTATATTTTTTTTATGTTTGTTAATAATAATAGTATCACAAGATATTCATAAATCCTTATCAAAACTGACACAAAGGCAAACCATTAAGCAGCAAATATTCTTTTACCCGCAACGTGTAGTTATAGAGCTGGAGCTGCAACGTAGAGAATTAAATATTGGAAAAGGAATCAGACAGGAATGTACACTGTCAACGCTACTTTTTAATCTATACATCGAAGACGCGATCAACATCAACATATTTATAAATACAGTACAACTGCAAGGAGCAGTTAGAGATAGTTTAAACAAAATGGAAGCGGAATTGACGATATTGTATGTAAATAAATAAAAGTAAAATAAAAATACTGGTGTGCAAGGAAAGAAAAAGTATGAAAAGAGCGAATATAAAAATAAGAGACGAAAAATTAGAAGAAGTGGCTGATTTTAGGAACCTAGGAAGTCAGAAAAGTCAGGACGGAAGGAGTAGTGATATAAAGCAGAGTGTAGCGCAGGGTCGAGTCGCCTATTCGCATGAATATGAGAGAACAGAGGACTCTATGGAAGTCAATAAGAAGATAGGTTGGTAGGGGGCCATATTAGGCATGAGGGTCTAGTCAGACATACAAACGGGAGTTAGGAGGGATAGAGGTAGACGAATATGCGAAGATTATGATAAGATATGGTTCTTGTCCAAATAGTCTTAGAACTGGCGACCTTATGATGATGATGATTATTTTACATTTTGGTACAGAACCACACAACGGATCTCTGATTATGAAATTAGGTCATGACTTTTTTTGATGAAACTTTTTACTAATTTAGGTTATAAACTTGATATACACGCCATTCTTATGTAAAATTGTTATACTTGTTTCAATTTGATAGCTTCAAACGTTTTCGAGAATGACGTAGTTTAATATTTCAGAGTCTCTGAAAGGAATTTCAAATAAGAAGCAGTAGAAAAATTAATTAAATTAAACAAAATAGCTCAATAAAAATAAAATCAAATTAACTGCTCCGTATGGCCTCCTCCTACTGCTACGCCTTTTCTAATTCTCTCGATGAAGGACTTTCTGACATTAAAAAAAAAAAATATTATTCCGTTCCCTAATAAAATTAGCCGCAACTTGTGAAGGAATTTTACTGGCATAAATTAAATACTTCATGTGTCGCCAAAGACAGAAATCCATTGGGTTGTAATCAGGATTTAATGATGGTCATAGAAAAAAAGTCACTTCCTCTGCATATGAATCATATTGTTCCTCTTAGATTTATTGAGAGATCATCCAAAATGAAATTACACACACTATTCATCATTGAAATATTTTCTGAAATTCCTTTCCAAGGCTCTGAAATGTTCCACATGTCACTCTCTATCTTGTTCCCTACTGTAGGAAAGTGCCATTGCTACTGAAGTGAAACTTCTTCAAACACAAAAACATACCGGGATAGGGGTTAAGGAATTGGTTTAATGGTATTATTTGTACACTATGCTTCGCACGGGTGCCATGCTGATAGTAAATATACTATAAAATGTATTTATGTACAACAATCACAACTTTTTTGTCATTAGACAATACAAACCGGCCGGTATCGCCACAACCGCTATGTCCCTGCATTTTAAGTCTGTAATATCATCGAAAATATTAATTTAAATTACAAGCTGTAAAGGACCGTATTGATCTATATTAAATGCACAATGTATTTAAAAGTACTTAATTCGATAAGGATTAATGCTGTATTGCTTAATATCGCTTCGTAAATATGTCATTATTTCTCGTAAAAAGTAAAGGAAACAAAAATGGTTATTGTGGATTATCCCTAATAGATAGACATACACCCGGACTATTTTTTGTTGACCTTTTTAAGGTGTACAATACTGTAGTACATTATTTTTATCTATCTCGTAGAGTTCAGCCAGCGATTGCAATGTAAGCGCAAAAAAAATGTGTTTATTTACGACATCACATTAGAAACCTCTAAAATTATCAGTGTTTCTCTACTATATTATGCATGTATTATACATATAAACCTTCCTCTTGAATTACTCTATCTGTTTAAAAAAACCGCATTAAAATCCGTTGCGTAGTTTTAAGGATCTAAGCATACATGTCTGTCCAGCGGGGGAAATACGTTGCATGATTTCGTTACATAGCAACTCGCATGAAACGAAACGAACTACCGTGCGTACAGAAGTTTCACTTCAAAAAAGTTATTTTCGAAAAAGGGAACTACTTTTAGTTAATAACAGCTGTCAAAATGAGTTATCAACTGTGAAGTCTAATCTACAAATATTAATTTGCAAAAAAAAAAACGTTAAAAAGGCCTTCCCCCGGATGTTTTTTACCGTATATTTTGGTTATTATTATCAAAAAATACACAATTTTCAAAATCCGAACACTCCTTATTCTAAACAATATAACCTTCTTCTTCCCTGCTCTCTATGCTCCCATAGTCTCCACCATAGACATATATTAAAGGACGTGCCTTAGCCGTATGTCGTTGTAATAATTTTTTGTCTTGACAAGTGAGGGAGATAGCGTATGGTTTCGGACTAGTGCTATCTCTTTCATGACACGCTTACGCACTATCGTAAGAGAGATGAATATTGTCCGAAACTTCATTTCATCTCTTTCTTTTGTCGTACCACAAGTCTGACCGCTAAGGCATGTCCATTAATAAACGTCGATGGTCTCCACTCTATGTCACACCATTGGGAAGAAAAAAAACCATAGATAACACTAACTTCTAATGAATGATATGACATAAAAGCGCGAAATTTAAAATTTTTAAACTATCCACAACACTAGCAACACCTTTTGTTTGATCCAATCCTTATATTTTAGTCCAAGTAACCTGCTACATTATGATAGTTATTACTGATCCTGTTTGTAAAGCACATTTAGCTGTGGCAAGCTATTTTTAGTTCCAGTTGAATTTTTGTAAGTGCATACCAGAACAGAAATAAACAGGAAATTTACTTTAAGATCGAGTATGAAATTCGATAAACTATCAATAAAGTTTGAAATGTTCTCAGCTCCTCAACAACAAATAATAACAAGTTTTAAACGAACTGCAAATTCCTTCTTAACTTTTCTTTCTTTCGTAAGTTACCGTATAATTTAAATGTAGCGTTCGCTTTCCCTAATGAGTTTCTCGATGTGCAGGTGTAGTCGCCAGCATCTGATGGAGATACTTTGTGAATTGTAAGTGTATTTCTTACTCTGTAGCCGTCCGTTATTTCCACAATAGAAAACTTGGAACTGAAAAGAAAAATAGGCTAAAGTAAATTGTGAGTATCTCATTAAAAAACTTTTTTTACTCTCTAGACTTATTAACTAAAAATATAATTCAAGTATTTAAAGTATAGGTACACATTGAAGTTAACTGTAATTTATGGCGTTGTTCGGGACGACCCGGTGGTAGAAAAGTGTACTATATCGGCCGGGAATAGAACCCAGGTCGCCCCGATCGCAACATTACTAAAAATACTCAACACCAGTACAAGTCACGCCTACGATCAGATTTTATGTAAAACTTCTGTAGCATTTGATTCTCCATTTTAAGCACGTTCACTTGTTTAATTAATTAATTGTTATTGTCACATTGAGTGAATTGTTTTCACTTCAATGTACAATATTTTTTATAAAGATTTTCACGTCATACGTCGCGCTGTTAGTTTCAACTAGATTTAATAAGGAATCGCATGGTGAATACAGTGGTGTGGTTAAGAGAAAAAATTTTGTATGAAAACCACAATTTACAATCCGAAGCCAGTTCTGCCCATACATTGGTAACGTATAGGTATGTCTGTACCTACAGCGATAAAAACTCAGGCGCTGCATCGATGGAGAATGTGAACATCAACAACTACTACAGCCCATTTCAATTTGTTTGAATTGTGGCCTTGAAGAAATCTGAGCGAAGATTGAAAGAATACACACTAGGCGTGAGCAAGACATAAATAGTTGGAACAAGCTTGAACGAGCCGAGCTCTCAATGGGAGGTCTGTACAGTACTAGACGAAAATGTTTAGCAATTTCTTAAAACAAAAATGTATATAAATTAACAATAGAAAACAAAGCAAAAGTTTTATAGGTGTGTAGAGCGTTAAGTTAATTCACTTGTTATTATTTTTGGTTAAATGTGCTTTTAAATAAAGCATATTCTTAAATTTTAACGAGGCAGTTTAAATAATTTTGCAAATGGTACTGTACACTTTTGACTAGTTCTCGCTCGATGATCGGTGGAGAAATGAGCTCCGCAGACGAATATGATTGGATTTAGAATTATGCTACGGCGCATCCTTATAAAGGGAAGGGGCATATCTCTAACTTCTTGAAACGAACAGTACACATACTGAATGATATTTATTCGCGGGGTAAACGTTCCATAAATATGCCGCGAATACAGAAACCGCGTATATAGAATGGTAATTAGTATGGAATCATAGGGGATACGTTCTAAGGTTCCAAAATAAAAGCAATATATATGTACAATAAAATCGATTTATTGAGAAATTCGCAATTAAAATTAATCATTATAATCAGCTTTAGACAAGGGTTTAAAAAATGTAATTATTTTTCTTTGTTTTGAATTTTGAGTTAGTCCACTCGGTTTCATCTTATATAGAAGTCGCCTCGGCACGAGCCAACAGTACATACTCAAAAAATGTCGATACATTAAGGGGATTCAGTAGTACATGCGCCGTAGAATAAAAACATGCTTATCGGTTCTAGATACCATGAGTTTAATGTTTAGAACAGAGGTTTAAAATTTTGTAGTTTTGTAGATTTGTAGTAAGATAGATAAAGTTTTGTTCTAACGTTTGTTGGAGGCCATTTTTTAATTTTTTACAAGAAGCATCAACTTTAAGCACTTGTAAAATCCTTTAATGACCGTATTATTGAAAACCAAAAACGTACAGAGTTAGTGTGAACCTTTGTCTGTTATCATACAAAAAATTACATATTTATCTCGGAGCGTTAAATCACAATGTTGAGAATAGAAACCCATATTTTCGGAAAAATTCACACTAGACACGAGCGGTCTATTGCTTTCAATCCCCTTAGTAAATGACACCGAATCCATTTTCTGTTTACCGATTGCATCCGCGAGTAATGAAATTTTTAGCCGCGAATACAGGAACTGGGTTGCAATTTTTTCACCCGCGAATGATGAAAACGCGAATAAGGAAACCGTGAATACGGAACTTTTACTGTAATTAGTTGCTTACGACAATAATGAATTAATAACATTTAATCACACAACAAATCTATAATAAATTTCATTTCTTTTTTCCTTATTTGTTTTTCAAAATTACTTCATCAATATCAAATTATATCAACAATTTTGTACATTAAAATTTATTCCTCTTATTCAAGTAATCAACTACTATTCTCTTTTTATTACAAACATTTATTTATATTTAAAACATTATTCAATGTGATTAGTTTCATGTTCTGCTTTATATTTAAAATCATTGCAGCAGTTTTCCCTTCTGTGTAATATTTTTTTTTCAATACAATTAGAAATAAATATCAAATTAATGCAGTTTACGACATTTACATCATTTTAGTTAAATGTTTCACGATTAATATAATCAATTATTCTGCAATATGAAAAATATATATTCTATCAAATTTTAT